AAGAATAGTACACAATCAGGGTCCTAGCAAGTGAGGAGCTGCTGGAACTAGACCAAGCTGTACACAGTGCCGCTGATGAGATATTTAGGCGCAAGCGCCATAGTAAAGATATCAGCTATGTCGGCACCGGAGGGCAAGTGTACTACGCGGGCCTGGTGGCGTTGCTGTAGCTCGTGTAGGAAGAAGTACTGCAGCCGGATGTGCTTCGCTCTGCCCTCTAGTCGAGCCTCCTGACACAGGAGGATCATGGCCTTGTTGTCAGCGTACAGGACCAGGGAAGAGCTACGTAGCTCACCTAAGTTTTGTGAGCAAGAATGTCAGCTAGCGGAGCTCTTGTGCCGCCATGGCACCAGCATAGATCTCAGCCTCACAGCTAGACTGTGCAACAGACGATGAGCGGGTGGACCAAGGTTAAAGCAATAGCCCTGGGAGGACTGGAGCGTCTCAGCGTTGTCCGCCCACGAAGCGTCTGTGTGCCCTATAAGGACCAACATAGGGTGCAACATAGGGTGAGAATGCTGGACGAGCACGAGAGGGACGACGAGACCAGAAGTGGGAGGGAGGCGTTGGGTCAGTAAACATAGGAGGAGACGCAAGAGGAGAACGAGGGGGGAAACGAGCCGGGGACGAGTCCGGCGGAGGAAACACAGGACCGTAGACAGGCGGAGGAGGTGGCACCGGGGGAGGTGCAGGCGGCCGGCCAGTGGAGGCGAAGAGCTGACACTGGCGGCGACTGCTGCAGCTGCTCCACACCGACACCAGAGCCTCCAGCCGCACCACGGCTAACCCCGGGACCCTCCACAACAGCACCCCCAGGACGAGAACCCTCTCCAGCACCGGTGTCACCCCCAAGACCGTCGAGACAAGCCACAACAGTACCCCAGGATTAGCACCCCTAGAACCAGCACCCCCAGGTTCAGCACCCTCCTCAGCGTCCGCACCCCCAGAGCTCGCGGACCCATGCGGCTGCGGCGGCGTCGGCGGCGGCGGCTGCTGCGGCGGATGCAGCAGCGGCGGCGATGGCGGCTGCTGCAGCAACGGAGGAGGAGACACCGAGGCGGAGACAGGCGGCAAACCCTGAGCCAAAGGGACCCCGGAATCAGCCGACTTCTCCGCTGGGGAAACCGAGGGAAGGAGAGTGACGTGAGACACACCAGACGGGGCAAGACGGGGAGGGAGGGGAACAGGAGCTACCGGGGGAGTGGGGACAAGGAACACGAGCAGGGTAACCGGGAGACCTCGGTGGGGAAAGCGAGCGTAGAAGGGGGCAGACTCGTCAAAGGTGATGTCACGTGAGTTATAGAAGCGGTGAGACGGCGGGTGGTAAAAGTGCCAGTCAAACGCATCAAGGGGGAAGCCAAGGATGACACAAGGGACGGTGCGGGAAGTGAGCTTGTCCGTGCCAGAGGCACAAACGTGAGCGAGGCAGCCCCATATGTGGAACGCATACGCGTCACTAGGTGACCCGGTCCAGAGAAGGGTCGGCGAAACCTGTGGCCGTGGGAGTGTGGCCACAGGTTGAGCTGGTGAGAGGCGTAACGAATAGCGAACGGCCACAGAAAATGGGGTGCACTAACATGGATCATGGAGGTACGAGCCACCTCCCTGACCAAACCGATGCGTCGCTCATTGACCCCATTCTGCTGCGGGGAGTTCGGCAGGGTGTACGACTGGGAGATGCCTTTCGCACGATAGAACTGGCGAAGCCGACCAGAGGCGAACTCAACGCCAAGGTCGGAGTGAAGACGAAGCACCGGCAGGCCGCGGTTGACTCGCACAGCTCGGACCCACGTGATAAGAACTTCATGCACGTCAGCCTTCCGCTCCAAGGGAAACACCGTGGTGTAGCGCGTGTAGTCGTTGACGAGCACCAGAAAGTAGAGCTCGCTACGCGGCCCGAGGACAGGGGCTGGGCCCCAAACGTCCAAGTGCAGGGTCAGGAGTGGAGAAGTGGTAGGGGGAAATGAGGAGGAATGAGGAGCACGGCGCAGCCGACCCTCGACGTAGGGCGTGCACAGAGGCACGGGTGAGCGAGGGAGGGCAGGGAGCGACGTAGGGAGACCTAAGACAAGACCATGCTGAGACATGCGACGCAGACGCGGGAGTGCGGGGTGACCTAGGCAGTGGTGTCACACTAGCGACGGGTGAGTGAGCGACCGAGAAAGAGCAAGCCGCATCGATCTGAGTAGGCGCCGCCACGTAAAAGGACGCTCCCACCGAGGGAGACGTGGCGTCCAACGTGAACTGGCCAGCCATTGGGTCCGGGGAAAACGTGGTGAGGGGTGCACCTGTGGCGGCCTCGGTACAGATTGCGTACCATTAGTGTCCAAGGAACGTAGTGGTGACACCAAGGTCCTGAAGACAGCCAACACCAGCTAGGTTCTTGGAGAACGAGGGGATGTGCAAGTCTATGAGGGAGCCTGAGGGAACCGCCGGACAGGGAAGGGTGGTGGAGCTAGGGGCAACTACCGGACCTGAGGAGGGGTTTGCAAGCGCGACAACTATAGGGGCGGCAAGCGGCATGAGTGCAGTGTGGTCACGAAATAAGCAGCCGGACACACCAGAGTCCAGTGTGAAGGAGAGCACGGCGGTAGCGTCAGCCGGCGGAACGACTAGGGTGGAGCCGAGGCTAAACAAGGCAGGAGGTCCTTTGCCTGACGTAGCAGGGGAGCCTAGGCTACACACAGCTGACACACCTACACTAGGCAACACAAGGTAATAAGGTCCAGTCACACTAGACTCATCGGCATATATGGCATACAAAGCAGACCTAATCTGATCCATATCCATCTCAAAGACTGGCACACGGCGACGTATCAGGCTGTGCCAGTCCGGGAGGTCCGGCGCGGGCCCGAAATGGAGACGGAAGAGGTCGTCAAGGCGGCGATAGCAGCAGGCGGCGGTGTGACCGGGACGGTCGCACACGGTGCTGCGATTGGGGCCGGTCTAAAGCTGGTACTGACAAGTCACCGCACCTGAGCCGGCACCCAACGCCGAGCTGCGCGAGCCGCCACCGCGGCCGACGCCACCAAAGCCGCCATGCCACGATGGCGACGGGGTTCCCCACGGCTGCTGCTGCTGCTGCGAGTGCTGCTACTGGGGCTGCTGCTTCGGCTGCTACTGCTCCTGCTGCTGCTCTGGGGCATCAGCCCCGACCCCCTCGTCTGTACCACTGGTACTCACACCACCTCCACCACCTCCACCACCCCTGCCACCCCTCCCTCCGCCATGCCCCCACCTGGGGCGGTGGCCCTTACCCTGACGAGGTTGCGTTGAGGCCGCCGCAGCAGTCTCAGGAGCAGGGGCTGTCTCAGCGACAGCAGTAGAAATGTCAGATTATGTACAATAGGAGGGGGCACAACCCTAGAAGATAGGGACCGGGCGCAGTACCGCTACATTGAGCGATAGTGCGCTGGCGGGTCTCTATCGCGGACAGGGCGGTGACAAAGACATTAAGGGTGAGGTCAGCTGGGTGGAGAGTAAGGAAGTGGTCGCGGGCAGTGGCGAGGCGGTCGGAAAGACGCGTAGCAAGGAAGCAGATGGTAGCGCCGAAGAGGGGAGGCAGTACAGTGAGCTGGGCCTTAGTGCTAGCAGCGCAGTAGTTAGTCTCGAGAGCGCGCAGGTGAGTGGCGAGATCAGCGACAACGGGGAAGGGCGCAAGATCAGGGAAGAGCAGGGGAAGAAGAAGACGGCCAGCAGAGGTGGAGGGAGTGGAATAGCGCGCAATGATGGCATCTTGGTACCCCTTCGCAGTCTCTACAGCCTAAAAGTGGGGACGCTCGGACAAGGAGAGGGCGTGACTGATAGCAAGCTGCGCAATTGCGTTGCGCGACTCCAGACAGAGCGGGCGAGCTCGGCGGCAGCGAAGGCCTCATGCTCAGCAGGTGTGGAGGCGTCAAAGAGGGCAGCAGGCGGGTCAGGGTAGGGGAGCTTACCGTCGACATGGACGTCCAGGGACTTGCCGTCCTGGCGCTGACCCTTCAGCTGGCGGCGGAGGTCGGCGAGCCACGCCTTGAAGTCGACCGCACGACCCTCCGCATCCAGGTGGAGCACAGTGTGCGCCATCACCACGACGACATTAGCACGGCGGCACGACGTCACGGCGACTCAGCAGCACGGCGGCACGGCGACACAACGGCACGACTGCACGGCGTCACGGCGGCACAGTAGCACGGCAGCACAGCAGCACGACGGCAGAGCGGCACGGCGGCCCTGCGGCACGGCGAGCTGGGGCGGCGCGGCTCGGGAAGCAGAGTCCGGCCGTGGGGGGGGGGGGGTGTGCAAGGTCGGTAGAAGCTGGGGTCGGCAGGAGCTGGGGCCGGCGGGAGCTAGGGGCTGGATCGAACTGGGGCCGGCGCGAACTGGGGCCGGCGAGCTGGGGCCGGCGAGCGCGGTAGGGGCGGCAAGCATGCTAGGGCCGGCGAGCTAGGGCCGGCGAGCTGGGGCCGGCGAGCTGAGGCCAGTGCGCTAGGGCTCGCGTGGCGCGCGAAAGGCCAGCGGCGAGCTAGGGGCCAGCGGGCTAGGGCCCGCGGCATGTGAAGGGCCAGCGGCGAGCTAGGGGCCAGCGACGAGCGACGGGCCAGCGGGCAAGGGTTCGTGCGGCGCGCGAAGGGCCAGCGGCGAGCGAGAGGCCAGCGGGCTGGGGCCCGCGCGGCGTGCGAAGGGCCAGCGGCGAGCTAGGGTCCAGCAGACTAGCTAGGGGCCAGCGGATGAGCTAGGGCCCAGCGACGAGCGAGGGGCCAGCGGGCGATGGCTCGCGCGGCGCGCGAAGGGCCAGCGGCGAGCTAGGGCCAGCGGGCTAGGGCAGGGGCACGATAGGGACTAGGCTGGGCGCTAGGGACTAGGGCGGTCTAGGGCGGAAGCACGGGTGAGGGACCTAGCCTAGCGTGATACCATCTTAGAATAACGGATTGGATAGAAATGAGCATACAGGGTGGTTTTGTGCTAGTGTGTTGTACTCTCTATGAGCATGCACCTGTCTAGCAACAACATATGAATATAAGTTGACAGTTATATGCAGACTGCCGCATTATTCTAACAGCATCCACCACTGGTGTCCACAAAAACCATCTACAGTGCACCGTATTTTGAACTCAAAATCTTGCATCGGCTATGCAGCTGAACTGGTGAAGCACAACTCGCATAGTAAGTTCCAACATTCTGGCTAAGTCATGGCCAGTTTGATATGGCAGGAGTCGCAGGACCAGGTTGATTTATTCAGAGACCTGCGAGGGTTTAGGAACTGAGCAGCGGGTGCGCCATGGCCAGTCTTGATACGCCTCAAACTACACTTTTAACCTGCGAGGGTTTAGGAACTGAGCAGCGGGTGCGCCATGGCCAGTATTGATACGCCTCAAACTACACTTTTAACCTGCGAGGGTTTAGGAACTGAGCAGCGGGTACGTCCGGCAGAGCCCAGAGGACCACACCTGCAGCGCGGATGGGAGGAAAGGAAAGGAAAGGAGGCGGCAGTTCCAGCATCAATAAATTGTCGGTGTGCTGGGACGCTGTGGCTCACAAACAGGAGGGAAAAGGGAGCACTTGCGGAATGTTTTTGAGAATTCTCGAAAAGGGAGCACTTGCGGAATCAGGATGTGACGAAGGAGGGGAATGCATGAGCGAGGGGGATGAGGGGGATGAGGGGGATGAGGGGGATGAGGGGGATGAGAGGGATGAGGGGGATGAGGGGGATGAGGGGGATGAGGGGGATGAGGGGTGAGTGAGGGGGCGGAGCTTACAACGGACAGCAGAGCTCCGTGCTTGAAGTTGGGGCGGAATGACATGGCAAGAGGCGCAACTGGGAGCTCCCCTGCTTGTGCCACAGGTGGCGATGGGGGTGGTGGTGGTGGTGAGGAGGACGATGATGCCACAAGTTGCGGTGGTGGGGGTGGTGGTGCTGTTGATGGGCCTCGAATCACACCACTGTGATCATGGAGGGGTGGGTGGAAAATGAAGAAGAGATGAAGTGGGAGTGACTGGTGGTGGTGAAGAGGGGGATGATGATACTAGGAGTGGTGGTGGTGGTGGTGGTGGTGGTGGTGGTGGTGCTGCTGCTACTGCTGGTGCAGCTGATGCTGCTGATGATGGGCGTCAAATGATACCACAGAGGTAAAGAATATAAGAAGGTGAACAGCTTGTGCAGCTAATGACAGCTCTCACAGTACTGGAAAATGCGGCAGTAAACGAGAGACACGAGCAGCATGGAAAAACGGAAGAGATCAGGTGTGCGGATAAAACAGCAACCACAAGAGCAGCAGTGTCGGGTGTTTAGAAAGAGAGAGGCAGCAGGAGGAAGGAGGCCCGGGAGCAAGGTGGTGGGATGGAGACAAGGAGAGACGAGGAGAGACGAGGAGACGAGGAGCGACAAGAGGCGATGAGGAGAGATGAGGAGAATGAGCAAATGAGAAGAACAGAGGAGAAGAGTGGGTGGGAGGGAGCATTACAGGAGGGAAGCGGTGAGGATGGGAGCAAGGTGTGTGTCAAAAAGCGCCACCACCCCTGCTGTGTCCGGGCGAGAGGAGGAGAAGGAGATGGCTAGGCGCCTTCCAGAGGGGTCCCATGCCATGTCCTGCACTCCTCTGCACACGGGCAAATGGAGAAGGAAGGATAGGAGGGGAAGAGGGGTGAAGGAGGAGGGAGACGTGACATGGCTAATCTGCCTGCGGTTTTCGGTTTTTGGGTGTGCAGATGAGAAGGAGATGGCTAGGCGCCTGCCTGAGGGGTCCCATGCCATGTCCTGCACTCCTCTGCACACGGGCGGATGGAAGGAGACAGATAGGAGGGAAACAAGGAGTGCATGGGCGACACGAGGAGGTGGAGGAGATGGGAAGGACTAGGCTAGGTGGGTGTGCCGGTGCCAAGAGGAGCCCCATGCCAGGTCATGGATGTTGGAAAAGAAAGAGAGAAGGTGATGACCCCGCTGCGCACAGCTAAGAAAGACAGACAGGAAGGTGTCTTTTGAGTCGACTCAAAAGTCACCTCGAAAGACGGGCAGGAAGGTGGTGAGGAAGGATAAGGGGCAGGAGAAGGAGAAGGGTGCGGCATACAGGCGAGAGTGGTCTAATGGGATCAAGCAAGGCGAAACGGACTCACCCAAAGGCAGATGATCCGGGGGGCAGCATGGGATTGACCATGAGCGATGCCAGATCGGGCAGCTCCAGTGGCAGCACGTGGATGTCTGCAGCAAGAGAAGATGCAGAACGGAGGAAAGACAGGGATCTATTAGACCCGGCAGCATGACCACTGCTGATGCCAGATCAAGCAGCTCCAGTGGCAGCACATAGATGTCTGGAGCAAGGGCAGGCGCATAACAGAGGAAAGGCAGTTAGAGCAGTATCAGATCTGGCAGCATGACACCTGTTGATGCGAGGTCAGTCAGCCGTCTTAAGTGGCATCACATGGATCTCTGCAGCAAGTGCAGGTGGGGGGTGCAGACAAGAGGACTAGCACAGGGTTTCCAGAGAAGGCGGTGGGGGGTTTGGGCGAATGGGGAGGGGAGAGAGTAGAAGGGCTTGTGGTTACCCACCGAGTGCGGGAGGCGAGCGGGCAATGTGCACGGCTGCAAGGGTGGGCGTGGAGTGAAAGGCCAGCAGCAGCACCCGGCTGTCAGGACTCCATGCTGCTGCCTGGCAGGGCATGGAGGGGGACGGCGGGGGGGGATGGGGGGAATTGGTAGGGGAAGCTCTTCTAGGTGTGTTGAAAAGAAAGGGACACAGGGGGAAGGGCGGGCGTGGAGTGGAAGGGCAGCAGCAGCAACCGGCTGTCAGGACTCCATGCCGCCGCCTGCAAGGGGGGGCCATGAGGAGAGTGGGGGGGGGGGGAGGGAATTGGGAAAAGATGGTATTTAGGTGTGTCGAAAGAAAGGAGCACAGGGGGAAGGATGGGCGCGTGGAGTGGAAGGCGAGCAGCAGCCTACAGCTGATATAACTCCGTGCTGCTGCCTGCATTTGAGGCGCCTCAAAAGCAGCAGCCTACAGCTGATAGGAGTCCGTGCTAGTGCCTGCAAGCAAGGGGCATGAGGAGAGGGGGGGGAAAGGGAGGGGGGGGGATGGGAGGCAGAAGGACATGCCGAGTGAGAAGAGACCAAGGAGGAGGGATGAAGGGATGAGAAAGGAGGAAGGCGGGGGGGGTATGGCACTTGCAAGGCAAAAAGTGAAGAACGACGAATAAAAAGGACCAATAAAGTCATGCATGCGCACAGGCACGCAGGCGGGTACGCACGCAGGCACGCACGCGGGCAGGCAGGCGGGCAAGGGAGAGAGCTCAACTCACTGTGATCTGCTGAGCGCCCACAGACCACTGCTGGCACGTCCAGGACTCTGTCTCCCACACATGGAATGTGCCGTCACTGGTGGCGGGCGGGCGGTGTGGGGCGGGGAGAGAGAGAGAGAGAGAGAGAGAGAGAGAGAGAGAGAGAGAGAGAGAGAGAGAGAGAGAGAGAGAGAGAGGAGAGAGAGAGAGAAGAGAGAGAGAGAGAGAGAGAGAGAGAGAGAGAGAGAGAGAGAGAGAGAGAGAGAGAGAGAGAAGAGAGAGAGAGAGAGAGAGAGAGAGAGAGAGAGAGAGAGAGAGAGAGAGAGAGAGAGAGAGAGAGAGAGAGAGAGAGAGAGAGAGAGAGAGAGAGAGAGAGAGAGAGGAGAGAGAGAGAGAGAGAGAGAGAGAGAGAGAGAGAGAGAGAGAGAGAGAGAGAGAGAGAGAGAGAGAGAGAGAGAGAGAGAGAGAGAGAGAGAGAGAGGAGAGAGAGAGAGAGAGAGAGAGAGAGAGAGAGAGAGAGAGAGAGAGAGAGAGAGAGAGAGAGAGAGAGAGAGAGAGAGAGAGAGAGAGAGAGAGAGAAGAGAGAGAGAGAGAGAGAGAAGAGAGAGAGCCTAAGTCCCTTCCTCTCTATTTAAGGCCCTTCCCTGCCTCATTTCCCTCGTTTAGTTTTAGTTCTTCTTTCTCCTACCCTTGGTGGCGGCTCGCGTCGGCGGCCTTTCGCCGCCGACGCTCGCAGCGCGGCCTTCGGCCGCGCGGGAGGGGTGGCAAGTCCAGCATTCAACTATATCGCAGCAAGTACAAGGCAGGCAATGAATGGCGCCCCCCCATCTCTAGACTAGGCCTGACGGGCGTATACGACATTGGCCTACCGGCCCCACCGTAGCACACACAAGCCCACATGGAGCACCTGATGCGCCGTGCGGGGGCGCTCAGACTGCAGGACTCACCGCCCGGCGC